AATCCTTCATAAATAATTTTTAAATAAACGTTCTTGTGTCCTTAGCCTGCACACGATAGAACGATACTGCGAGCTGCTCAATATTCTACACAACCGCGTCACTATCCACGAAAATCTGGACGTGCTGCGCCAAAATTCGGTGCGCACCCCCAGACATTTCGGTGCTCCGAACGTATCGACGTCCTAGAAAAAAAGGATGGTTCTTGTATTGTTACTATCGAATCGGAAATTGAGCTGAAGCCTCGGATCAGGTAATTCCGGATGTGTCTGGCGCGCTGCCAAGTGACGTGAAAACGAATTTGCAGGGAAAGTAGAACAAAATGACGTATGCGCCGGTGGCGTCATAAGGAACGGTGATATTTTAATGTCCCGTCGCAACGATTTTATCACTGGTTTATCAGCAGTATAACGTTCCCGCGGAAATTTACGGTTACGGAATTCAGAAATATCCCTCCGGCTTTTTCTCGCCGATAAATTAACGACCCTTCTAATCCTGAGTCACGTAACACCACTATTTCTTTAATACAGAAGAATACTAGATGAATCCCCAGATTCCATTAAAAGTCTGCGTTCATCCCGGATCACATGTAAACAAAAAATTAATTTGTAATCAAAGAATTACTTAGAATCCAGATTTCGAATGTTTGGAACGGAAATCAACTTAACTTTTAAATTAGATTATTTCATTAAATTCTACGGATATTTTCTTTAGTGAACGAGATAAAATTAAATTCATTGAAGCTCGTCAGAAATATTCTAAATGATTTTTATAGAGTACTGATTCGTTTCAAAAGTAATAGCTCTCTTTAGAAATTCGATATCGATTAAGGAAAGCGGCGGGTATATTTATTCTTTCCTTCCACCCGCGGTGCTATTCCAGTTAGTCGCTGGCATTGTTGGCGATCGCAAGCTTGCGACACAAATACCACGTGAATCGATATCCCCAAGTTCTCCATTCCTTTCCTTGGCAGTGCAGAAACCGCCCCCTTTGCCAACGAGCTCGAATACTTTCCGACCAGAGACTGTACGGTTGTAAAACAGACGGTTTGTCTGTCTTGCTGGCTTTAATCACTGGGAATTGATCCTAATTTCACTGTTAATTGTTTTACCGTGAACGGTTCCGTTACTTCGGCTCCAAAGTAGGGCGCCGGTCTGTCTGGTCGCATCGTGGCACGAGGAAAAATCATGGGACAGCAACAATAAATCGCTCGAGCGGACAAAGTTTTAATACATCTATGACCTGAATAGAAGTTGATAATACCGTTTATCATCTACTATATACATGACAGGAAAGTATTCATTTACCTTGATTTCTCTTGTAACTTCTGTAAACGTTGACAAATATAAAAAGATATTAATTTTTTAGTTTCACTATGTTTTTCTATATTATTATAAATGATTATCAATAATCAGTAAACTATTACTTAAAACAATTCAAATTCTTGAAATCTTAATTTATGTTGATTTATTTTCTTGTACATAGAAAAATGTAACTAGTAATGAAGAAACGAAAGGTATATTAGATGTCGAATTATAAATATTGTATTAAATATTTATTGTGAGTGCGCGCGCAGGTGTGTGTGTGTGTGTGTGTGTGTCGAAATTGCGTCGAAATGCAGCGGATAGAAGCGCAATTCTCCTGATTTAATTACGCTGAAACAATAGGACATGTCCAAAGGCTTTGAAATTTAGTGTAGCGCCATGCAACAACACCGATTGTCTCTGTTTTGACGATTCGAGCGGTATATTCGAAATTGTTTCGCAATCAACTACATTAAGCTTTCGAAGTACGTGTAATACATCCAGAAATTTGTTAGATGATTACAATCAACGAGAGAAACAAGAAAGGTTTACGATAAAAAAGAATTCTTTGAAAAGGCTTTAACAGCTGTATGAAATTTACTGTCTTTAAATGATCCTTTGATGATTACTGTCTTTGATTTCCCTGAAAACCAAGTGACACGAATAAACAGAAATTTAAAAATTTTACAAATTTTGATAATTTCATATTCCGACGATAACAGAAGTTATTATATATACATATGATTAACTAATCAGACAATTGTGGATTTGAATATTTAAAAGCGAACGTAAGATTTTCACTTCCATGTCAGTATTTTACAAGTTTCTCACTGTTAATCGGTTATTGATAAAAAAAGAATCTTGTCTCAACTGAATCAAAAACCTACATTACTTTTTCAATACCAACGGTAACACTTGGTATCAAAGAAACCCCGTCGCCATAATCAAACTTTTCCGAACTGCGTAATGATAGAGCGGACCTGGTAACGGGTAGTCGTGAAACTCGATTGCCCCAATGGGACCTTAAGAGTTTTGGCGACAGTTGGGAGCCCTAATTATACCTCGAAATTTACATTTAAACGAGGGAAGGCTAATACGCGAGAAACTTGCCGCGAAAAGTTCTCACGACGGACGCAATTCTGATAAAGAACGCCGGACGCCTCACAGTGTTTCCAGTAATGGAAGAAATTCAACAACCGAAGATTACGACCCTTAAGTTCTCCCATCTTGAAACGTCCTGAAAAGACCATAAATTTTAATACTACCCATAATTTCTACAGATTTCTTGACACAGCACATTTAACTTTGATTAATTGTATAAATATTGAATTCACTTTTGACACAACTAAAGTTACACCCTGTGGTTTAAGCCAAACTCAATTAACAGATTCGCAACCGCTGACGTGAATTCACATCTTTCAAATATAATAACTTTCAAAATATTTTACTCTTCTACTCTCTTTCATTTGCTTTTTTAACAGAAAACTCTTCACTTCAAACAACAGATCGTTACAAGACTAACATTTCGAAAGAAATTTTCCAATTGTTATTCCTGTTTTAACGTCAAAAATTTCTTTAATATTTCCTTCATTTTCACGGGGAAAAAGTACTAGAAAAGCGAAAAATTTGTCGGTCGTGGATGTGTTAATACTTTGACTACGCAATCACCCGAATTTGGGTGACAACATTTTTAACATAAACCTACACATTCATTTCCACTTCGTAACGTATCGAACCTACTAAGTTTTACTTCTATTACATGTACGAGATATAACGAACATAGTAGAGCAATCGTTATGAAGAATCTTGACTTCTTAGTTCCTGTTTTATTAAGAAAACAGTTTCGACTGCATACGAGTTTCGACGAGTGTTCACTTCGGAGTCAAAGCGTTAAAAGGAAATCGAATAAGCGAGACTCCGCCGTACTCGAAACACTGTATATCGCCGAGGTTCCGCGGAAAAATCGTCCGTGCTTTCGGTTTCTGCTCCAGAAAGCTGTGCTACTGCTCCGTTTTCGACGAGTTCGAACCCGCCGCAATCAAGAATATTTACTGCCGCGTATAAAACGTGATCCCGGCGTTCGTCGCGCGTCACGAGAGCCGCGCGCGCCGGCTCGGCACGCAATACCACGCCATCGCAATTTCATTTCTCCGCGACGCCGGTTTAATGTGTCCAATCGATTTGCTTTTGCGTCATGGGACTCCGCGAGCCGGGCTCTGAAGCACGAACGTCGCGCAAAAATCACATAGAACCACCGTGAAATTGCGGGCCGTGTACAATATGAAGTTACCGAAGAGCAAATCACGTTTCTCTGAATAAATAACCAGCACGACGTCAAATAATCTTCGATGAGGAGGAAAACCCTGGAGTCAAGGTAGGTACTCCAGATTGGATCGCAGTGAACATTGCGCCGAATTATCAATACTTGAAATCTTGAATATATTTTTACACTCACAAAAGGTGTAACAAATATTCGCAGCGATCTTCGAGATTATCTTGAATATTTTTAGATGGCAATGAATCTTTCGATGCCTAGCTAAAAAGTCGTTTCTACACTTTGCTTTAACCTTTCCAAGGATGTATATTTTTCTTTTATAAAATAATTCAGTTTATTATATTTAGGAATGCGAGTTTAATAGATGTCTCATAGAATATTGTTGGAAGAAATTGGATAAAAGTTGGACAAAAAGTCAAGTTGTCTTCGGGAGCCAATTCGACTCGAGCGAGGGATCGCGAGCGTTATACAGTGGAAAAAAGGGTTTAATCGGCGTCGCTAATCGTTTCCGAGAGAACCACTTGTAACACTCTAAATGGAGCACTCTGTAGAGCACAGCTAGAGCACTCAGAACAGATTTTGTGGGGTTGGGAGAAAGGGGGAGACCGAATTGCCGGTTTCAGCGATAATAATTGCCAGACGGCGCGCGTTTCCCAATCTGACGCGTTCCCCGGCGATCGGAAGCCTTGACTTGTCTGTACTTCTGAAAAGGAGCAAAAACGTTGCCACTCTTAATAACGTATCTGCCAATTACCAACGATCATTCGGCTTCACTGACAACGAGGTCAATGCCGATACTCGGACGGACCTCAGAATCCCTATGGAACAACGTTCGTTGGATGGACATGCACGATGATTCTGTGTACACATGGTCAACCGTGTAACATTCTCAGATCATTTCATTATTATCGAACCGATCGAAACCATTTACGCGACGCTTAATTAACCGAATCTTTAAAATGACCACGGTACACTTTTCGTCGGCATATTTCTTGTGAAATTTTCGAAATCGCCTTCGATTCCTTGATGAAATTTAATTCCGAGTATACAAAAGTTAGAGAAGTTGGTTTACGACAGAAAGGTGACCTTGAGAATTTTAGAGTAAAACATTAAAGATGACAAAAAGTGTGTCATCTTAGAAACATCCTAGAATCAGATCGAATGCCCTAAAAGAAAAATTTCGTTCGGTTCGGAAGGAAAAGATTAATCTGATGTTTATCCTGTGTATTCATATGGGTATGCGGAAATAAGGGGAACAGTTCGGTTTGTACGAAGTTCGTGATTGAAACGCTTGGTCCTCGTTACTTGTGTTTGGACGGATGACACCGAAGCTACCAGGTCTACTGGGTAGTGGCGAGGGATAATTAAAACGCGATACTGTGATGACGATGGTCGTCTTGATGTTCTCATTAACGAAACTTACCCCAACAGAGCTGATTCCTCGGCGGTGGCAGCGCTCGGCATCCTGTGTCTTTCCCTAGAACAAAATGGCGGCGAATAATAACAACGCCCAGCCCTAGCGGCTAGCAGCCTCTACCCGGGTGCCAACAACGAACATTAGAGCAGGCAGTAAACTGTTAAACTCAGTCCAAAGGGCGACGGCCGGCGAAACTGGCCGGTGGAATTAAAGTAGTTACACACACGAGCTTTACGGAGGTTGGTTCGTTCTCGACTTTGTTACTTTTCACAGAGCCCTGGTCGACATCTGGTCTAGATATTTGGGAACTTTCGTGGCAATATTTCTCTGTCGACCCGTGGAAGGAATATATTAAGGTGAAATTGGGTGAAAAGGTGAAACACGGTTTTGGTATTTTTGGACACTGGCTGTGGCATTTCGATTAGGTGATATACAACGAGTATCGATGCAGTATAGAAACTATGTAGGTCAATGATTCTTGTAGTGCGAATGTATCATGATATAGAGAGTGGAGTAATCATTTTGATCATTTAGAACGTCTTCAGTGAAGAATCATCATCTTTTGAAGATGTAAAAGATTTTATTTGTAGATGTTAGGTCGCGTGGAAGATGTGGAAATGTTCGAGTAATAATATTTTTATAGTCGCACGGTTTATGACAAGGATTTCTAAGGCCGAAAGAGTCGTTCTTTTATTTCTTTATTTAATGTCTAGTGACCTTGTGTTATAGGTCGGGAAAACTGTGTTATTTTTGCTGAAAGCGAAGGATTGCAGTATCGGTTTAAGAAAAGTGGTAATATTGGTATCTATAAATGGACTTTTCATACATTAAAAAATTATTGTAGGAATTTTGTAGCACCTTTGGTACCATAGAAATTATGACAAGTGATATGCTGTTTTAACTGAACAAAGAATGATACTAAAAAGGAGAGGTTATTACACAAGTAGGCAAGAAGATTAACAGAAAAATTAAAAAGGTTAATAGCACTTTTAATCATGTTTTATGATTCGACTTTGTAATAGAAGTAGAAAGACTGAACAAAAACATTGTTTCTTTTAATGTGTTACCAAATGATTTGTAAAAAGTGGCGCATGAAAAATGTTGATGTTGTGTACCGCAAAATTGTGGAAACAAAGATTAGAAATATGTAGTTATGCTTGCTGAGAACCATACAACTTTCAGCAGGACAGAATATTTTTTCTATCCCCAACCGAACAAAAGACATGACTTGTCCCACTTGCGTGACTCGGTTTGCATAATCCACTAAGAGCCTTTTCAGGCGAGACAGTCAATGGCTGACAACTGCTATCCGGGGCAGATTCACACATATTCCGCCCTCATACAGCCAACGTGACACAAAAGACGGAAAATGTACGAGCAGCCACCAAATACAGTCATCAACGCCCCAACCGAAAGCAACCAATGAATAGATGACTTCTTAATGTAGTAATTTGCTCGAATTGTAGATTTTAAGAAACCATTTAACAAATAACAATTTACTTCTGAGCATTATGAATCTACAATGTTGCGTAAATACATAAATTCCTCGGGTTGCCTCTAACTAGACTGCAAATTTTTATGAATTAGTTTACATGTGTTAGAATTGGAATTTATTCTTTTTGTTGCGAACTTGACTACGATCTTCCTTATTAAAAAATATTCCAAGAATTATCAAAATTATTTATTTTGTCAAGCTTCACACGTTCGTGAACGTCACAGGCACATATACTCTCCAGGTCATTAACTGTCTCTTTCAAGAACACTTTTAGGGATTGCACAGTTATGCAATGTAAATACTGTATCCTATACCATCTCGTCATTGCATTTAGCATCGAAAATGTTTCAATATATTCCTTCCATGGGTTACACAATTCAATATTCAACCCTTAAAGGACCACGAAGAAAAGTAATATAAAAGACACGTAGCAAAGATCTAGTAAATCCATATATGAAAAATAGTTAGCAAAAGAAAGTGTTTATATATCATTCTATTATTATTCGTCTTATTTACCTCATTTTAAACATTCAGTATTTACACAGTATCATTTTTTGAATGCTCTATGCATACCAGTAAAACAATTTTGACGTAACTATCAAAATGAGTCCAACGGATGCTTCTGGTCCTCTAAGGGTTAACCCTTCAATGTTACAGCCAAACCTCTCAAAATGTTTATGTATCCATATTTTCTTGTGTATAACTTACAATGTTGAAACTAAATGTACCTTTCAGTTACATTATAATGTTTATCCACTGAAATTATGGATAACTTATGTTATAATTCACCAGTAGTTTGATAGACCGACTGTAGCACTTAACCTCTTGCGCTAAAAAGACGTGGCATGTCTTTGTCAAAAATTATCTCTACAGCTTTCTTGCATTTCCAGATTGTTTCAAATCTATCGCTCTCTACAAAATTATCGTATCTGGCTGTAAAATGGATAAACACAAAATTCTTCGCGCGAGACCCTGTTGAGTCTTCGAATTCTGTTGCTAGCGTAAGAGGTTAAGGGTTAATCATGATTGTTAGGGTTTGCGTATGCGATTAGTTTGAAGAGGAGAGGCCAGACTCGACGAGGACAGGGTTGCGAGCCACAGTCGACGTTCGTTCGCGTCGAGGGCAGGGAAATGTCCCGGTATCGAGTGTCCTCCAGGAAAATCGAACATCGGACGCGGTCGAGGAGTGCTGGATGTCGTTGGTCCGTCATTCTCGGTGGATCGACCTCGCACGCGAGAGGGATCACTCGAACCGAGAAGCCGGTTCCGCAACGCGCGCGTTGCCGTCGCGCGCCACGAACCACACGCCGACGCAACTCGAGCGTTGCAAGGACAAAGGAACGCATCCGACTACGTGCATGCACGGAATAAAAAGAAAAAGGCTACGATTACTGGCGATAATAGTAATAATGCAACAGCGGTGATAGCTTCACGAGACCAGAGTTCCTCGATGGGTTTTCATTTTCTGTTTTTACGGGGGTTGATGACAGCTCGACTAACGTTTTTACTTGATTCACTAGTGTTTGGACAATGTAAAGAAAAATGTTGAATCTTAATTCAGACAATTTGGACATGTAATGATCTTATTTAGAGGGTTGTATACCTTTTCTTAGTGTTTTTCAGTTGTGGAAGTATACGTTTCACTGAATAATCGTTACTATCGTTTGAAATGGTATATTTTTAAATAAATAAAATAAGAGTGTAAATTGAATTTTCTGTTTTCCCATAAGAAAACAGAAACAAGTTTTTCGCGTAGGAAATTTTTATATACCCCACTCTATCCATAGAAGTCACATTGTTTTCCGATGCTTGATTGCGTCGAAATAATTTTCCATGCTTCGAAAACTGCGCACAATTCTTGTGAATGCCTTCAATGGAACGAATAAAGCCGGCACGAGATCCCGATAAAATGAAAAGCTCTTTTTCTTTAGAGGGTAATAAATATGGCGAGAAAGAGGTAGTAAATATAAATTATTCCGTCGATTTCCTGATCGACGATCTGAATCGCGAAATTATCACCGCTGAATGGTAATGTCATGCGAAAATACACAGACTACGAACGATGCACAATTACGGTCACACAAGCAGGGTAGCTAAGGAAAAAAACGTCTCCAGCCATGGCAAATACTTGGTGGAAGTGTTTAGCGTGAGGAAAGGAATGACGTTCAGGTCGCATGATGCGGCTTACCTCGTGGCCTGCTTTTGTAGCGAGGCCGATCAATAGTCGCGACTCCGACTTCCGGTCCTAAAGTCCGTCCGTGCTTTAAGGTTAAACCAAGTCTCTGATCATTCTGATAACAGGTACACGTGTGCCTGTTCTTCGATTCGTCAGGTGGAGTCGAAGGAACGCACTCGAAGCGGTCGCAGGATCGAAAATCTTCGGGGTCGTGTCTCGTTCGCCAAGTTTTATCGTCTCATCGTTTAGCATGTAGCCAAATTTATTCCACTGAACCGTTCGCTTCGAAGATGAGAATTAATGTTTTATTAAGCTACGCGAAACTCGAGGTAGTTACAACACTGCAGACGGCGACGAACGATAATTTATGGAGTTTCACTTTGTTGCGGATGGAATTGTTCATAAACGTTGACGCGTTATTTTCATCGGGATATTCGGCAATTTGGAAGAAACTGTTCAAGCTTTCGGACAAATATCTTAGCGCACAATGGAACTGTAAGTTAACAAAACGTAATGGAATGTAAATTCAATTCCCTTTGCAAATTTCGAAATTACATGTATGTTAAAGCCACTATTAATTAATTTGCGGTGGTCTGTAGCGAAAATTGAATTGCAAACGCCGATATTTCATGTGTAATGAGGTTTGCGAGTTCCCTGCTGAAACGATGGGACGATATAACGCGAAATACGACCCCTCAGATCCAGTCCGACAGGAATACACAGACGCGACATGTATTCCCGGTATACATGTAAGAGAGATCTATATGACCGGTTAGTACATTTAGTTAGCAAGTCAGACATTTTAGCGGCGATGGGATTGAGTGATTGGTAAAGCGGACCCCGTACATCAATGCGTTTCTCAGAAGTACACCAAGTGTTCACCGGGATTTCCGTTGGAGCACTTAAAAAGGGCAGGGAACTGTGACGATCGATTCCCTCGACGCCAGTCCACCACCGTGGCCAATAGCGAAACCACTCTAACCGTGCCTCCGACATTTTCGACCTCGAACCGATTACTCGCGACCTCCTTAGCCTCTGCTCAGGTCAGTTGTTCATTGTGGCTCGTAAGTTCCTTCGAACGGTACCTTCTAAGTCAAGTCGTTCTGAATTTTATTCGGAAAAGAACCCTCTTTTGAATAAATTGAAAATTATATTTTGAAATTAATATTGACATCTTGCCGTATGATTTAATATTGAATTTAATCGAAATTGGATAGAGATCGAATATTGATAACAGCAAAAAAGTTTTCCATTTTAATTTACATGCAATGAATGACAGCGAGGTTTGCTGATATTTGAAATTTTATTTTGAAATAGCAGTGTTTTCCAAATTGACACAGGGTACGTGCAGTGAATGACAATGAATGATGATAATGAAGAATTATCAGAGCACCTTATTTAATATTGAAGTGATTCGTTTAATGTATTCCAATGATTCGTACTGTTCGATTCATATGTCGTTGGACTACAAGTGGTAATAAACATATATTACGTGTTTCAGGCTACTGTGCCAAAGTCGTAACTTTAAAACAGTGGAAGGTAGAATGAAATCTCAGTGGATAAACTTAAACGCTTGCTTTCAAAGAGTTTACGATCATTTTTATTTTCAGATTGAAACTGTATATTCTTTCATACATAATGTATACCCCTTCACTCTCTATAAAAAGAGTACATTGGTAGCAAGAGTTACATCTCCGTCAACAATTTCCAAGCATGAATTGAAACTGTACAACCACAATATTTATGAGCATGAAATAACTTTTCTCTTTAACAGCGGGGAAGTATTTAAGTATTCATGGAATAAAATGTAAGGTTCTTGCCATCTATATGATTCAGAACAGACTCTATATTTAATTTCAAAACAAGTTATCTGCTTCTCAAATATTCTCACATAAATTAAAATAATCGTAAATCGACTAATACCTGAACGTAGTATGATGTAAGTATTAACATAAACTCCAAAGTGAAGGATCAAGAATTTTCCGAACCGCAGAAAACTGAGACTTAAACCTACAACTTCAGCCAGCTTCTCGAAACCTTCCACACAAAATGACCCCACGACCTGGGCAGAGTTTTCATCAATACTGTATTGTAATCGATTACGACAAGAATACAGTACGAGGTCGAGAAACGATTGCGAAGGGACACGCGGTTTCGTGTGTCCCGCGGCCCGTCACCGCTATTTGCTAACCGCACAACGGTCTAGATCATCCTCGTTAGAAGGAAAAAGTTCAAAAATCATTTTTCTTTTTGATCGCAATACTGATGTGATGTTCATATCACAATGAAATATTACTGTTTTCTGTGTATCTCAGCATCCTAGATCAAATGTAACCATAATCGATTGCACAAGACCTTTGTAACAGAACTATTACAAAGTACAATTAGAAATTTAAATACCATACACAGTAGATGAAACGTTCATCAATAGTTCCATCCCTTTACCTTCAATTACGACTATTTTTCCTCCTAAGTACACGATCTGGGCCACCGTGGACCGGTTCCTTTATTCCCTCTTTTCCCCGCGTTCGTGTGTGAACGCGAAAGTACGCGAATATCAGACAATACGTTGTATCGTATAAGGCATTACCTTGAGACGATCGAGACGCTCTCACGTCGGTCCTCGATCAGCGGGTCCTTTTTCCTCAGCTCGACCTTGGGCGAGGCGAAACTGAAAGCCTTCTTCACGCTCTCGAGGACGCTCTGCCCGGTGGTCTGTGTCTGGTCGACGATCGTCGTGCTTTTGTACACGTCCTCGCCCAGGTCGCCTAACGACCTGTACGAGGCGCCAATACCTGCCGGCATGGCGACGACTCCGGTCGCTGTCGCTCGCCCACGATGAGACCTACGGTCGTTCGACCGATTCCTGCAACGCCCCCGACGCTAGCACCTGGACTCGGCCGTCCACCGTTCCGGTGGTTCTACCTCTGAGAAGAAGCGCGTTCCGCGTGGAACGCGACGGTCTCCCTGGACAACTGCTGCGCACCTTCTTCGCGCGCTGTTGCTCCTCGACGATGGTGCTGATCGGTGATCGAAGCCGATATCGCGCGTCAACAAGGCAAACGAACGGGCAAATCAAAAAAATTCGAGTTCAGGCCGGTCACGCGCGAATGTTCGGCTGGGCACCGGCAACGATTTCAATTGACGGGTTCGGAGCGACAAGATGGCGGCACCAGGTGGCCGCGAAATGGCGGAGCGTTCAAGAGCCGGTCAGTGAAGGGTTGTTTTCGAATTCAAATGTGACAGTATTTTCGATATTGAAAATAAAGGGAAACTAAACAATTTTGATATATTGAGTTTGGAGAGTGAAAACTTCAATTTTTGAATGAGTAAATGTTGAAAGAGGTGACGTGAATTGATTGATATTGGACAGGTTATAGAAAATCGATTGAATACGTGGAGATTTGAAGAGAATTGAATGCCAAAAATATTGAAAAAGTATCAAAAATTTAACTCAATTTTGATCTTGAATGTAGTTGGAAAAGCTCTGTATGTAAAGTATACTGGGTACTTAGAAAATTCGAGTTATAGCAGTGACCTAAATGTCGCGGCTTTTCTTACAGGTCGACCCCAAATGACGTCACGCAGCAGAGATGCAATTATTTTCACGGTGTACCGCGGTATTTATTATTTTCTTTTCTCGCGCATTAGTTCCGTTGTTATTGGAATGATATTCTTTTTTCCCGCATATTAAAAGGAACTCACGAACTTTTCTCTGTTCCGGAGCAGCGATTCTCAATGATCCAGTAACTTTCTTAATTAATTCGTTTTACCGTATAATTAACCCTTCGATATCCAACTTCTTCGATATTGAGCTAATTTCGCTCGAATAATTGATAACCCGTTATCACAGGCGTGCAAAAACGACAAGGAGAGAACACCGTTACTCGCCAACTAATCCTTCCATTATTTAATTTCATTTGTACGATAAACTTTCTTTTCTTCCTCAAGAAAGATAGAATTAATTTCATCCGTTAGACGTAAATTAAGACGCTGAAACTTAATTTCCTCGAGCAAACAATTTTCATTGTTCTTTTCATTGCTGTGCATACAATAAGAAGTTATAATTGTCAGTGTTTAATTCATTCGGTCGAGATGCGTGTACAATTCCACGGTCATTAACGGTGCGCATCTCCTTGACGCGGAATTGCATTTTACTCGTGACGTCATATGGTCGAAAGGGCCGGTGCACCTGCCGTCATTATCACCGGCCGCCAGGACGAATTTGCAATTACGGTTCGGGCAATACAAAGTGAACAATCGCTGAATCCAGCAGACACGCGAAATGGAACGGGCACTTCAACGATTCTTCGCAGTCCGTTAATTGTACGAACATCCACCAGAACAAAAGAATTTAATTGGAATCACTCCCCACGAAAACAATGCTGATATTTGGATTTCCTAGGCGTTCCGCGCCGTGTTTGCCATTGTCTTGATACGTTGTACGTCAATATACAATACATATATATATTTTTTTTCTTGAGGCACATTCTAAACAATCTATTCACCCCAAAATTACTCAAAGTTTCAACTGCTCAAACATGATAACATAAAAAAAATTATTAATTCTTAAAATACCATCGAATATACTGAAATTCTTTATGAAAGAAAAATTGTTCAACTTCGCCGAAAACTGAAAGTTACACAAAAATTCTCAGCCCGTTTATAGCACTCATGAAGTTACCTCCAAATTATATATCTTGCAATCTCTGCACCCTTAATACTAAGAATGATGCTAAGAATGAACCAAGTATTTCGAAAACATTCTCGACCGTCTCCATCCACCTGCCCGTTTATATCTGGCGGCCCTTAATTGCTATCTGGCCAAGGGAATGGTCTGTCCGACCAAAACTAATGGAACGCTTCCTGTGCACGCCCTTCGCCGATTCCAGATCTTGATACGCTCCGTGAGATTACGGTCGATCTAGATTTTCACGTGGAACGTCTTGATCCCCGTCCACCAGACGTTTAGAGGATCGTTTCATCCCGGACAACTGCAGCTATTCAACCCCGAAATCGTTGCGGATGCCTGTCCGGCACGCGAAATGAAAAAAAAAACGAGGAAA